GGCAGCGGCGGCGGCGCGGCAGGGGTGGAGGAGGGGCAGGGCCAGCAGGGGCACGACGCCACGGAGCTGTAGGGTGCGTGCCCGGGTGTGCTGGCGCTCCAGAATGCAGAGTGTTTGCAGTGATGAATTGGGCGACTGGGCGCCCCATTTGGGGCCCCAAAGAATGAAGTTATTTTTGTGGTGAACCGATGATGTGTAGTGAAGAAACAAAACAGAGTGGGTGGCTGAGAGGATGAGAGGATAGCGTTGGTGAGAGAAAGCGGGAAGTGGAAACGCCGCATCACAATGGTGGCATTTACCTTGCAGCTTGCCGCTGCCGTCACGACGCCGCTTGCTGCACTGCGGCGGGCTCCACATCTGCTGCCGCCGCCGCCCCGCCGCTTGCCAAGAGGTCCGCATCGGCGAGCGCCTCGGCAAGGGCTTCGGCGGCGGTACCACCTGTGCTGCCTGCCGGCTCCAGCTGCCGCGCAATGGCTTGCAGCAGGTCCAGCAGGAAGCCAAACTGTTGCTGCAGCGGCACGACCGCCACGGGCGGCACGTGCAGGAAAAGGGCGTGGATGGGGCGGCCCCGCCGCTGCCGCTGCTTCTGGCTGTGCAGCAGGGAGAGGTAGAAAGTGAAGTTGCAGACATACCGCCCCGCATCCAGGGACGGGCGCACATCGTGCCGCTGCTGCTCCAGCCGCTCTGCGACCAGGGAGAGAGATGGGAGGTGGCGTTGGGAGGCAGCGACTGCCAGGGCCACACAGGAGCAGGAGGAGCAGCCCACCAGCCACCTGCCAGCGTGTGGCTATGGCAGCGCTGCGGCCAGCCACCCGCGCCCACACCACCCGGGCGCACCCGCCAGCGCCGACACGTCCAGGTCTGTGAGGAGGCGGGAGGAGAGGGTGAGGCCCGGGTGGTCGTCGATGAGCTGCCTGGAGGGCCGCCAGCCGGCCATGTCTGGCACGCGGAACGACGCCTCGTTCACCGCCTGCTGCTCCAGCTTGAAATGGCCCCCGGTCACATCCACTCCCATGTGCAGCTGCGGTCGGCGGGTGGGGGGTGGGGCAGCGGTGGGCCGGCATGCGGCAGCGGCAGGGTGTTGGCTGGCTGCCTGTGGTCCAGGGCTGGTAGAAGGCACCAGGACGCAAGCATCAGAAGAGAAGCCCGCTGCCGCTGCCTCACCACAACCAGCGGCTTGTCTGCTGCTGCGGCGGCGAGGCGAGCGTCGTAAAGATCGCTGATCCACTCCCGCACCGACTGCCCTGCGCACTCGAGCACCGCCGTGCCCAGCACATGGAAGGCGGGATCTGCAGCAGGGCGCAGTGTTGCAGGGGCGGGCGTCTGAGGAGTGGCGCACAGCGGCCACTCGCAAGCTGCGCCGTGCCGCCGCTGCGGCGGGCGGGTGGCCCAAGCGGGGCTCGCAGCCTGGCGCCTCCCTCTGCTGCTGGGCTGCATGCACGACTGTGCCAGGCTGCTGTGGCTGGCGCCTTCCAGGGCAGGCCAAGCCCCAAAGCCCAACGGCGCTCACCGTGGTTGCCGCTGGCCAGCCGCTCACTCAGCAGCTTGATCAGCGCCTGCGTGGGGTTGTCGCCACACCCGGAAAAAGGCCCAAAACCAGTGACGAAGAAGGACATGGCGGCCTGCAACAGGGGACGGGTGTGCCGTAGCCGTTCAGCAGGCCGCCACATCGAGGCGCAGCGGCGGCGGCGTCCCCGCCGACTGGTGGAGAGCTCGAAGCTGGCGCCCTCGTGTCCCTATGTGCCTGTTTCATATGTGACAGCGGCAGTGGCTGCGACGGCGGCAAGCAGGGGGAGCTGGGGAGCGTTGTGCCAACCTGTGTGCTTGCGAGGCACCGAGAACGCACCGTGCTTTGATCAGAGCGAACCGTTCCAGGGGAATGGCGCCCTGCCTGCAGACGTCCACGGCCAGCTCAGCGGCGGCGCCTGGCGGCAGCCTCCGCCCAACCGCGCTGTAGTAGTGGAACTGGGCCAGGAAGCTTGACACATGGTTTTTGGTTTCAATTTTTTAAGGGCATATGCATTGATGTACGGGGGCGCATGTACAGCAGAAAACTGCGCCTCCGCGGCGGCGCAGGCGCCAGCGTGGAGGACAGGGCGGGGAAACAGTGCGGGAAAGCAGGGAACTGGGAGCATGTTGGTCGCTAAACCTGCAGGGCGTACATCATGCACCGGAGCCTGACTGCTTGGCTCGCTGCGTGCCCTGCGGCTGCTCGGCTGCTTTGTGCTTCTTCCCCTGCTTCGCCTGCTCCGCCGCTGCCGACTCCGTGTGCGGCACTGCTGCTGCGCTGGATTCAACCGCCTTGCGCAGCGCCGGGCTCAGGAAGATGACGTGCTCGTTGTCGCTGACCAGGCTGTAGCCGGTGGTGTTGAAGGCGGCGTCCACGCGAGAGCTGACCTCCTGCACACCGCACGCAGCAGCAATCGGCGGCGGAGCAGCTTTCAGCTCGCCATCGAGCAGGCCAAAGCAGTGCAGGCTGGGCCATGCACCATGCTGCGGCTGTGCTGCGTCACCCACATTTGGCTTCAGGTCAAAGTAGCCGGCAAAGTCTGCAGCAAGCAGCAAGTACAGAACCGGTGTTGGTTCCATGCTGGCACCACATCACCAAGCCGGCTGCCGCAGCTGACCCCCCAACACAACATCTCAGCGCACAAGCATGCATAACGTCATCACAGCATGCCCAGCTGCCCTGCTGCTCCCTGCCCTTGCGCTCACAGTCGTGTATCTCCAGGGACACCGCCCGCGCCTTGCCGATCCAGCTGAAGTCGTTGCCGGGCTCAAACACCATGCCCTCCGCGCCCTCGATGTCGATCTTGACAAAGTCAAAGGCGGGGATGTCGAGCATGTCTGCAATGTCCTGTACGCCGTAGGCAGGCATGCCCTCCTCCCCCTCCTGCGCTTCGCGGAACACCTGCACGGGGTGCCGGCACCGCATGCCGGCACGATGAGGGCGGGGGGAGGGCCGGGAGAGCCATGCATGCCGCCATATGCCCTGCTGCAGTGTCTTGATCGTCGGCAGTGTGCGTCGCTGCTCACCCGCCCCCAGTTGCCGTGGCTGCTCGACTTCATGACCATGGTGATGTTGGCGCGGTGGCCCCACAGCCCCGCGTTGAGCGCATGCACCTTCTTGAATCTGCAGCCCAGCCCCCGAGAATGACGGCTCACAGGTCTGGAGGTTGGCCTCATGGCGGCAGGGGGCCTGCCCCTGCCACCATGTGCCCCACAGGCCGGGCATCAGGCCGGGCATCAGGCGCAGGGGCGATAGGTTCCACGCCCGGCACGCACATGGCAGGGCACAGCGCAGCAGGCCGTCCAGCCCGCCGTCACTCACGACTTGGTGTTGGCCTTCAGCAGCTCAAAGTTGCTGGTGTCCGGCTCCAGGCTCACCACGGTGGCATCGGGCCACAGCAGCTTGAACAGCGAGCTGGCAAACCCGGCATTGGCTCCTGCACACGGGGCGGGAGGGGGCAGCCAGGTCAGCGATGAGGGAGGTAAAGGCACACCGACCCCCCCCACTCTGGTCAAACTCGTGGGCTGCCCGAGAGGCACAACATCCTGCCTCCAAGATTGAGAAAGCAGGGGAGGCGCACCCGCATCAAGCACATACTGCGGGGGCTGGTCTGCAAACAGCGTGTACAGGTACCGCATGTAGTGAAACTGGAACACCTGCACACAGCACACAGCGCAGCAGGGAGGCGGGCATGTCGGCAGCACGTTGCGCACGGCGGGCAGGCAGACACGTGCATGCCGCGTGGAGGCTGGCGGCGGCGAGCAGCCGAATGGCGGGTGTGCAGCGTGCCAGCTGGAGGCGGGCTGCGCAGACAGCAAGCCCAGCAAGCAGGGGTGCGCGGGGTGGGTGGCGCGGCACTGGCCTGCTGGAAGACTTGGAAGTCGGTGGTGCCAAGGCGGAAGTTAACTGGGTAGGAGCAGCAGGACGCCCTGGCCGAAGACAGGTTGTGTCTGCACACGCAGGCGCGCAACCAGCCCCAGAAAAACCCAGGATGGGCAACGCCGCGTGTTGCTGCCCGCCAGGGCCAGGCCGCTCTGCGCATGCTGCCTCTCTGCCCTTGTGCCCCACACGCTCGCTGCCAGCACATGCCAGCCGCAGCTCACCTGCACGGCATGCGGTGCGCGGTGCCCGACAGCAGCGGCCCCAGCGTCGAGCGGTTGGCCTTGGCGCCGTCGTTCACCCGCTCCAGGTCATCGGCCTTCAGCTTGAAGATGTGCAGGTCTGCTGTGCACTTCATGAGCGGCGACGCCTTGCTGGTGCGGTCCAGCAGTGCCGTCAGCTTGGCATCCCCCGCTTTGTGAAGGTACGACTCGCTCCAGCCCGCCGCCGACGGCGCATGCTGCGCTTCGCCTGCACCTGCGCAAGGGCCAAAGCAGGGTGGGGCCAAAGCAGGTAGGTGCCGGTACGCTGCCGCAGTCAACAACACACCACCCGACCACGGCGGCAGCCAGGTCACCACGACTGCAGCCAGTTCACCTGAGCCTGGATTGTCCCCTTGTCGTCCTGCAAGTGCACATGCATGGGGGTTCTGTTGATGGGCTCTAGTGCCTGCGTTGTCTAGATCGCCGCGGCGGCAGCACCAGCCCCCGCCAGCAGCGGCGGTCGGCCGCTGCTGACGCCAACTGCCTCCGGCAACTACAGTCTGGCAAGCAGCCGCCCACCTCTGAGCGCCAGCCACACTACGCATAGCACCGCTGCTGCTGCCAGAATCCGGCTGTGCCGCCGATGCGCCAACAGCTTGGGACTGAGGGATGGAGGCCGCATTTCGACTCCCGCCGGCTGCTGCCACTCAGATAGCATGTGATGATCGCGGTGATCACCTGCGCACGATGACCTCCCGCAAGCCAGGCACCGCGTTCCCTATTCCTGGGCCTCCTGTCCTGAAGTACACTACGCTGTACTCAATGAAAAGCCGTTCACCTTCCGCATTAAAGCGACCTGTACAGTTCAGAAAGATGGACAATATGCTGTCTTTACTCAAGACAGAGCATCAGGAGATGCAACACATCAGCAACTGCCCGTGCCACATGTCAGGCGTCCGCCATATGTGCCTGTACAGCTGGCAGTATTTCCAGTTGCAGCACGAATCTAAAGCGCATGCTTGCATCTCTGGGCAGGTATGGATTCCACATGGCGTAGTTGGTGCCTGGGGGAGGGGGCGTAACGCGCCAGCCTGTGAGGATCAACCGACACCTCCCGCAGCCAGCGGGTGCGCAACAATGAGCATGCTGCTCTCACCCCAGATGTTGTTGGTCAGGCAGTAAGACACGCCATGCCGCAGGTCGGGCGGCGTGGAGAGGCTCGGGAAGGGCGTGTGCCGGACGGGGCTGACGAGCGCCGCATCCAGCGACCTGCGCCGCAGGCCGGAGCGACAAAAAAATCCTTGGAACAGGCAGGAGCCACGAGTGGCAGCTTGCTCGGCTCAACTCAGATGCTGCTGTGGAATGATCCCAAAGATGCCTGGGTACACCTGTATCCCCACCTGATGTAGAGCCGGCGCTTGCCGTCTGCGCTGTCCACGCTGACGCCCTCGTCCCCCACAGCGTGCAGACCGTGGCTGCCGTTGCGGATGACCTCCAGCGGGGAGATGGGCTGGCCCAGCTTCCACATCAGCCAGCTGCTGATGTTGACTGCACGTAGCAGGCAGCCGGCAGCCAGGCAAGGTAGGGGAGCCGCTGAGAGGCCGGCCAGCAGGGGCCAGCGCCAGCTGTTGGAAGCGCCCCACGTGTCGCTGCGCCACTCGCCTGCCTGCTGCCGCGGGATCCAGGTCACCCAGAAGGCCTCCGCCAGCCGCGTGGGCGCCTTGCCCTCCCACACCAGATCCACCAGCAGGTCGGGGGTGTCAGGCAGCGCCCTGCAGGGCAGGCAGGCAGGCAGGCAGGCACACAACGGCCAGGCAGGCAGCCTCAGGCAGGCCAATATAAATGCCGGGCTGCTCCGAAGCGGTTTGGGATGCACAGTCGGACACGCCACAGTACTCCAGCGCGGCCAGCGCCCCCAGCACACCTGATTTCGGTCCACAGCACCTTGGGCGCACCCGCAGACTGCACCGCATAGCGCTCAAAGGCGGACTTGACGGTGATGTGCAGCCCGCCGTCATCGTTGCGCCGCCACCACACCTCCTCCGCCTGTGGCAGGTATGCGGCATGCCGCGCGCCGCCCTTCACTGCAGCACAGATGCGCGGCAGGCGACGCACAGCATGAGATGCCTGGCTCGGGTGCAACAGCAGGCTGGCGGCGGGCTGACGCCACGTACGGGTGGAGTTGGGTTTGGAGAAGTCCTTGGCAAACCAGTCGTCCCGGGTTTCAAAAAACGCATACTGCTCCCACATAACGTTAAAGTCGCTCTCTGCAGCAGCACCGGCAGCACAGTCGCATGCTGGTTGGTTGAGCAGATCAGCTGACGACACAACACAAGCAGCTGCACCCTCCTCCTGTCTGCCGCACCCGAGTACGTGCTGTAGACAGGCAGGGCAAGCGGCGACTCGTAGCTCGCCCAGCTGGGGCCAACTGCTGCTGGGCGGCGTGGAGAGGGCTGGCTGCTGCCGGGCAGGCGAAGCACACGTGCCAGTCGGTGCCATAGCGAGCGGCTGGCGCCGCTAGCGTGGCTCCCGCCGCGGCTGCCGCTACTGCCAGTCGCGCCGCCACCCTTGAAGTGCAGCCCCACAATGGCGCCGGTCGCGCTAGACAGCTCCAGCTGCCAGGCAAGCGACTGGAACAGCAGTGGCTCCTGGAGGCTGCGCCGCTGGAAGCCGCTGCTTGGTGCGTGGGGCGTGGGCGGCACCCTGCCCCTCTGCAGCGCAGACAGCGCCTCCTGCGCGCGCAGGCCCTCCTGGCTGTTGCCTGCACCGGGCAGCCACCCAGCACAACAGCAGGTCGGCATGCATGGTGGCAAACACACATGGAAATGGCCGAGCAACAGCCAAGCTGGTCCAGGCGCCAGCCGGGTCTCCCTTCTATCCATTCTACGCCGCCCCTCACCCAGCTCCTGCACCGCCCAGCGGTTGTACGATCGCTGCCGCACCCAGCTGTGCACCGCCACGGCGAAGGGGTTGCCCAGGCTCGTGTTGGCCAGCCGCCTGTGGAAGGCTGCGGCCAGGGGAAGGGGGCAGCGGCTAGCAATGAGCCAGGCCAGCGAGCCCGGCTGGGCCAGCGAGTCAAGAGGCTGGGTTCCAGAGGCGTGGCGGGCCCCTCAGCGGCCACGCCTGTATCTCCCTCCTGCCATCTGCAGCACCGCCAGGAGGCTGCCCCGAATGATCAGGTTGTCTCAGCTCACCTGCATTGCCCCAGTGCTCCCAGTCGTTGGGATACTCCTTCTGGTCCACACCAGCGGTGTGCTCCGGCAGCTGAAGGCATGGCGAGCAGGGCAGGCAGAGTGCAGCGTGTGCGGGCCACATGGCTGCATGCATGCCAATGCGCGCTCCATCTTCAGGCAGCAAGCCAAGCAGGGGGTGGAGGGCTAGCAGGCAGCAGCACGGTGCCGGGCAGCTCGGGGCGCTTGCCTTGAGCAGCAGGCGGCTGAAGCGCCTGAAGGCGTCGGCGCCATAGCGTTTGCGGCCGCCCCGCCGCACGCGCAGCAGGGCGCGGTACTCGGCCAGCTTGGCTGGGTCGGCAGCAGCACCGTGGATCCTGCACAACGGGACGGCCGCACGCCAGCAGAGCCGGGGGGCATAGTCGGGGGCGGCCAGCACAGGCTGGGGTCTTGACTATGTGCTTGCTGCTCGCCGGCTGCCGGTTGAACCTCTGCAGCCACGGCCCGCCCACCAGGTGTCCCCAATCTCTCCCGTCACCACCGGCAGGTCCAGGCGGGGCGCCGCCGCCAGCACGTCAGCCACAAAGCCGTCAAAGCCGCCCGCCACGATGTCGGCGCCGGGGAAGTCGGCGCGCAGGCGGGCGTAGATGTCCAGCACCTGTGAAATGGCACAGCACAGCACAGCACAGCATCTCGATTCGCGGCAGCAGCATGGGGGTCGCCTCGCGTGCAGCGCCAAAGGCAAGCTCAAGTCGCTCTGGCCCGTGGCTTTGAATCAGGGTGCGCACCTCATCCGCATCCGGCGGCCCCGAGTTGTCTCCAGACCAGGCCGCACACAGCGCATGCGACAGCCCATCCGCCTGCAGCAGCGCACAGTTTGCTCCGGCCGATTGTGACGGCTGTGGAGGCTGGCTGCGAATTCGGGCACTAGGGGGCGCGGGAACGGACAAACAGACTACCAGCCCATCCAGCCCCCCTGCCCGCCCTCTCCCCACCTTGACGCACTCCCAGCGGCCGTCCACCGGTGTCCCCGAGTAGCCTCCTGGGTGCCACATGGCCAGCAGCTCCTTGCCGCTGGGCAGGTCGCGCCAGATGAAGGGCGTAAAGTGGGGCACAGCAGGGGGGGCGCAGCCGCCGTTGACGCCCACTGCAGCCACGGCGGCGCGGTGTTGGAAGGCATGCTCAGGCAAACACCAACCCAGGTTGCCTCCCTGGCTACTGCTGTACTGCCTGGAAACACGGCTGGGTATAGAGCAGCGGGGGCATGTGCAAGACCGCCCCTCACCTGAGATGGCCCGCACGCCTTGGTCGGCCAGGATGGGCACGGCGGCGCGGGTCAGCCCCGGCACATCACGCTGGCTGGCGGTGATCTTGGGGGGCAGGTGGAAAGCGCGGTCCAGGTCGTGCGTCAGGCTGACGGCAAACTGCGCGGGTGGGTGGGGGGCGCAACCACAGCATGGCCAGCATCAGACGCCGAGTGCATGGGGGTCTGCCAGCGCAACCATACAAGCCGGCAGCTTGTGAAGATGCAATCAAAACGAAGAGTGCATGTGAGGAGGGGCCTCACCCGGAGCAGGTCGGCATCATATAGCTCCACCTGCGCAGGGGCACGGCAAGGAGAAGGGAGGGTGTCAGCACCAGGCCTGCCATGCAGGGCACCTCCAGGCTTGCATGGGCTGTGTGCTGAACACCGCTGCGTCGCCGCATACCGGGCACCCACCTGGGCATTGTGCGGCAGGGCGTGCCAGGTGATGTCGCCGCGGTGGACGGCCGCCTTGAAGTCGGCCACGGTGGTGGCGTTGGGGCAGACCAGGCCGATGTGGGTCGGGCAGTCGAGAAACAGGCTGACCAGCCAGCTGTGGGTCAGGAAGACGAGGCGCTCGGTGCCGCCGGGCCGCTGGCGCAGCTGGCGGGCCACGCGCACGGCCCTGGGGAAGTGGGTGTTGAAGTAGCGCGACAGGGTGTTGTTGTCGTACCCAGGCTCAGGCCCGCCCGAGTGGTACCCGACGTCCAGGTGGGTGGCCACCACCAGCGTCACCTTGGTGATGTTAGCTGCACCGCCAGGTGCTGGAAAGGCGGCGGCGGCCTCCTTGGCCGCCGCCGCCAGGCATGCCAGCAGCAGCAGAGCCCTGCACAGCCCGCAGCAGAGTGGCGGTCTGGGCGCTGGTGGACATGCCCGCCCGCATGCATCCAGGGCGCTCAGGGTGCCGGCGCGTGCTCCGGCACTTGCAGATCGCATGTATAAGGCCTCTAGCAGGCCTCCAGCAGGAGGCAGCAGCAGCAGTGGGAACAGCGATCGCCTTCCGGCCAGACCTGAGCGCACCTGCTGGGTGGCATGGCGTCTGGTGCCGCTGTTCACGCACGACACAGATCATGCGTGATAGGGCGGGATTTCGGTTGCTCGCGCGAAGTGTAGGCAGTGTACTGTCTACACCACCTGCAGGAACCCTCCCATCATCCCACCGGCTTTGATATCCAACTGTGGCAACGAGTAGAATGATTGGGCAGCATGGCAACCAGGGGGCACCACAATCCAAGAGGGCAGGCCGTGCTGGTGGTGGCGTTGCTGCTGTCGGTGCGCTGGATCACGCAGAAGCACAAGGATAGATCAATGCGGATGCAGCTGCGCGAGGTGGGGTCCCCAGCGTTGCCGATCACTTTGGCCCCGCCGCACGGGACCGCCTATGCAGCGTGTGTGCATACACTTGAGGTACGGAACATGCCTGGCGAGGTTCAAGGCACTGACGGAAGTGCGCGCCCCAGCGGCAGATGGCCGCCCCTTGGCAACAGTGCCGCCCGGCTGGTCTGCTCCTTGTTTCCAATCCCCCCTACGCTTTTGACCCCTTGCATCAGAAGCCTCCAAAGGACTCCACAGCAGCATCAGCACAGCAGTTCGCCCCATGGACAGCTGAGTGGCAGCAGGTGAGCGGCAGGTGCAGAAGGGCTGCTGCCCTCATGCATCGATGAGTGCTGCTCGTGATGCTTGGTCTCTGCTGTGTCCGCAGGCCAAGCAGGGCGGCGGCACACCGACTCGCATGTTGATCGATGACAGCCAGTGGGCGCGGGGGGCCTACGAGGCGCTGCAGACGTGGCGGTCGACCTTGTTTGGCCGCATGGCGGACTTTTACAAGCGGGTAGAGGACGTGGCGTCACGCCACGGCTCGCGAAAAATTGGCAGGTTGGCCTGGGAGCAGCGTGCGCTGTCCTGCGTTCTGTCCCCGGGTTAAACTGGCGGCTGTGCTTGCTGGCTCTGGAATTGCAGAATAGAGCCTCCGGGGCTGCAGCGGTACGATCTGTTCAGCCCGTACCTCAACTGCTCAGGCGGCAACCTCACGCGGCTGGGCGCCGGCGCCGACGGCGACCCGACTTCTGCCAAGCTGATATGCATGGACGCGGCGCTGCGGGTGCCTGGCTGCCGAATCTACTCGCTGGGGAGCCGCGGCAGCTTTGAGTTTGAGAGCCAGATGCTGCAGGTGCGATTAGTTGCCTGGCTGCCAGCTCAGGTAGCCCATTGTTGGTGCTCTGCACATGGCTGCAACGCTGTGCAGCAGGCAACTTGTTGGTCGGATGTGCATGCCTGCCTCACCTGCACTGCTTGCAGGAGACCCCATGCGAGGTGCACACCTTTGACTGCACTTTTAATGGCAGCAGCATCCACGCGCGGCACAGCTACCACCAAATCTGCCTGGGCAGGGCCAGCCGGGAGGCAGGAGCCAAAGGGCCTGCCATCTTCAGCGCGGATTCGCGGTTCATGGCGTATAGCGACATCACAGACATGCTGAACCACAGCCATGTGGAGCTGCTGAAAATTGACATCGAAGGCATGTCATGTTTTCTCCGCCAAGTTTTCCGCGGTCATGCCACGGGACTGAGCCTAGCTTGCTTTCTCCTGCTGCAGGTTTCGAGTTTGATGTCTTCTCAGGTGACGGGCAGGCGGGGTCGGTGGGGCACCATTCTGACTGTTCCCTTCTTTATCCGCTGACGGCAGCTGCTTGTGATGCCTGTAGACTTGAAGCCCACGTGCTCGCTGCCCTTGCAAGTTGCCATGGAGGTATGTGGGCAGCCAGGCAGCCCATTGCCCTCAGTTGCCCCACGAACCCAACCTGGCGGATTGCTCTTCCATCCCAACGGGCATGTGGTGCTGCTGCCGCCGCATGCAGGTGCATTTCAACGGCTACCCGACGACGGGAGACGACGAGGACTGGACCTTCTTCTGGGACCGGTTTCGGAGAGCGAAGCAGCACAAGGCACACAACTGGCAGAACCTGCTCTGGCCAATGCACGATGTGTCGATGGCCGAGCTCGCCGTCTTTTGCATGCACCTCGCCGATCTGGGGTACGGCGTGGTGAGCCGAGAGGACAACATCCCCTGGGGATCCGACTGCTGCGCCGAGTTCACGCTCGTGCACGTGGAGAGGCTGCCGTGGTGTGGATGATGTAAAATCAGCGTGCTGCATTTTCTTATTGCAACAAGCAGCACGAGGCATATTTCTCATTGCTTTTGCTTCACTGCAGCATGCAACTAAGCAAACAAGGCATCACTGCAGGTACACGCAGTCCAGAGGCCACAGGTGGCAGTTGGGCGGCCTGCCGTAGTGTGGGTCCACCTGCCGCAACACCAGCGGGCAGCCGCCAAAGAGTTGCGAGAACTCGGCCAGGCACCGGTCAGCAGCCGCCTTGAAGCGCGCAGGGTTGTGGCTGATGCCTGTACGTGGGTGAGTGGGGCGGGTGCAGCATTTAGCCCGGCAGGTCAGGAACAGCAAAGAGCCAGGCGGGGCGCTGCTGCAAGGTGGGCTGGTGCCACAGGAGTGCAGGCAGCTGGGTTTGGCAGTGGTGGGCGACAATAAACACAGCAAGGTGCGGCGGCACACGTGCAGCAAGCCTCACCCACGCCGCTCAGCCGGCTGATGTCGATCCGCCGCTCCGGGCGGACCAGCTGCACCGGCGGCATCATGGCGCTTGCTCCGCCTTCCCCTGTACCGCCTGCTGCTGCTGGGCCTGCGCCTGTCGCCTTTGCCTGCCCCGCCGTCCAATTCGCCACCACAAAGTTGAGCAGCAGGTCATCGCAGTTGAACACTTCGTCCACCAGTGCGCGGGCCGGGGCGGTGCTGCTGGAGAAGTACAGCGGGAAGAAAGTGGCGGAGTCCATGAAGGCGGCCCCCGCCAGAATGGTGTTGTATGCGCCCTGCACGTCAGCCCCACGCACTGGGCGGATGTGTCATTGGAAGCAGCGGGCAGGGCCGCAGGGTGGTGGCTGCGCGGTTCCGAGAAGACTGCCCTCAATCACTCAGTTGAGCGGCAGGCGCCATGAGCACAGCCCGCTGCCTAGCCCCCTCGCGCAAGACACCGACCTGCTGGAACACAAACTCCTCAAACTGGTACACCGGCGCCCCGCTGCCGCCCTCCGGCGGCACCAGCAGGCGCGGGTAGTAGCCAGCCAGCTGCTGCGGGGCGGTGCGCCACCGCGCAAAGGTGGACTCGATGGTGGTGCAGGGGATGAGGATGTCGTCGTCCAGCGACAGCACAGAGCTGGGCACAGGGAGGCGGGGAGGCACGCGCGGCAGCGGGGCCAGAACAATCATCAGCATCCACGCCTGAATGTGCCGAGTGCTGCCGGAGGGGCCTGAGCGGGTGCCTCGTGCCCAGCGCCCAGTGCAGCACAGAGGCTGCCTGCCAGCGCAGCACACAGGCTGGCCGGGCGTGGCCGGCAGCTGCAGAGGCGGCGCACCGGTACTTGATGTCGGGGTCGGGGCGGAAGCGGTTGTTCATGGAATTGGTGGCCTCCAGCCGCACCCGCACCGGCACATCGGACAGGAAGGCGGCGGCCTCGGGCGGCGGGCCCTTGTTCCACACCACCAGGATCTCGCCTGCAGGACGAGACGCCAGCAGGCGGCTGGAAACGGTGCAGCTCGGCCACATGGGCAACACGCCACATGGGCAAACTCCCGGGAGGCATGCAATGTACACATCGTGGCAGCAGCACGGGCGCCGCAAGCCGTGTGCTCTCACTCACCCACAGAGGGGCACTGCGAGTAGTGGCTGACATACCACTGCAGCTCGTGGAGGCGGGCAGAGTAGCTCATGACCATGAGAGTGAAGCGGCTCCACTGGCCCTCCACCGCTATCGCCTGTGGCTGGACGAAAAAGGGCTGCGCGATCTGCTGCACCCGCCGCGTGGCGCCGGCGGCCAGCAGCGCCAGCACCAGCGTCACCATCGCCAGCACCAGGCGCCAGGGCGGCAGGCGCAGGCGCAGCGCGCCGCTGCTGCGTGCGGAAGGCTGGCCTCTGGAGCCACCGCCGCCGCAGCTGCTGAGGCTGCGCAGCAAGTTGCCGGTGCTGCCGCGTTGCCTGGCACTGCTCGGCATCTGTTTGGCGACGTTGGCGCCATCAAGAGCGCCACGGGCCGACGGCGGTGCCCAGGCAGGCAGCTGAGAGTCCTCCGCTTTGGCAAGCTTGTGGCTGCCAGGGTCCGCTGTCCAGCGCAGCAGCAGCTGCCCCCACTGCTGCTTTAACAGCAGCGACCGCACAGCGGGCACGCGCGCTGCCCCGCTAAGGACCAGCAACGCGATACAGAGCAGGGCGAGCGTCCTGAACACGCCTATGGCTGCCTGCAGCTGCTGTGACAGGGCTGGCGTCGCTGGCGGCAGCTGGCTGGCCTCCACAACTACGGCAGGCAGGCAGGCAGGCAGGCAGGCAGGCAGGCAGGCAGGCAGGCAGCGGTATGGCGTCACAGAGAATTGGAGTGGCATGTTACTGGCTTGCTTTTTCAAACCCCAGTCCTACTCTCTGTGCCTCCCCTAGGCTGCAGTCCCACCTGCCAGCCAGGCTCCATCCGGCCGCTGCCCAATCGCCAGGTGTGTCCAGCCAGCCGAGTCCCAGCCCGCGCGCTGGCGCCACAGCGACCGCCCCAGCTCCAGCTGCACAGGGCTCTGCTCAATCGAGTCCCCTGACAGCAGCACCTGCAGCCAGCAGGGTGGGACAGCAATGTAAATGCATGCATGTCGATACAATGCCCTGCTCCTCGCTTCCACCAACCACAACCCAGCCCCTCGCCTGCCCACCTGCATCGCCTGCACCTCGCCGCAGGCGGTGCCACGGCAGGAGCGACCCAGGCGGTGGATGGCACCATTCCATGCAAACACGCTCCCCGCGGCAGTCGACGCCTCGGCAGCCAAGCTCCTGTTGGGGTGTTCTGTCCAGGGACCCAGCGGTGACTGGGCTCGAAATGCGGCCAGAACACGGTCCTGCCCGCCTGCATGCACATGGCAGCCACAACACGCTGGCACTCACACAAAACAGACTTCCAGCATCTGCAAGCTCTGGCTTGCGACCAGCACTCTACCCTCTGTGGCAGCATGCACCGAGCAAGGCGCTAATCGCAGCCCCATGAGGGCCGGCAGACACGCAGCAGCAGCAGCAGCAGCAGCAGCGCCCACCTTGGCCCGCCCCTGGCTTGTGGCCCAGCAGCCACCAGAGCTCGCCATGCTGCACCACGCTGACGCCCGCCAGCGGCTGCTCCACCAGCACGCCCGCAGGCTCCCAGCCGAAAGGGAAGCTGGTTGCCTTGAACACGCACACCTCCCGCTGCCCTGCCACCTCTGGCACCAAAAACCACTGCGGCGGGATGTTGGGGGAGACGGTGAGACACACTCGATGTCAAGTCTGAGCCCAGAGGCGGGATAGGAAGTGTGCATGCTGTTTCTGTTGCAGGCGAGGAGCAGCTGCATGAGGGCACGGCACAAGGGGTGCAGCACAGCGCAGGCCCAGGGCTCACGCTGCCATCGTGGTGGAAGAGTGAGGGGGCGTGCATGTCGGCTCCTTCGTCCTCGAGCACCATGCCCAGCCCCCGCCACGTCGTGCCGCTGCCATCAGGCGACTCAGCTGCCGCGATGCCCCACCGGTCCCTGCCGCACGCGTGGGCCGCAAAGAACATGAGCAGGCGGCCGTCGGGGGTGGTGGCCAGCGTGGGGTGCGAGATGGCGTCCACAGCCGCGGCCCTGCCCATGCTGGTGCCGCCGCTGCTGCCGCCGCCCGATGTCAGCCGCTCGGTGAGCTCCAGCGCTGTGAGCACCGGGTTGGCCAGTGGCAGCGCGGTTGCGCTCTCCACATGCAGCAGGTCTAGGGGCCGCAGCTTCAGCGGCCGCTCCTCGCCGCCATACAGAACGCCAAAGGAGGCGGCACCCTGCAGGCGGCAGTGGGTGGCGGCGGCAGCGGCGGGTTGTCAGGGGATGCACCCAACCCGCGGGCGATGGCATGCAATGCGTGACGGCAGCTGTAAGCTCCGGGCACGGCGCCTGGCGCTCACAGCGCTCCTCGCAGCAACTACCTGAGTGAAATAGCACGGCTTGCACGTCTCCTCGGAATCTGGAGTTGACGGAGCGCTGCCTGCTGCTGCAGCTACAAGGCAAGCCTGCAGCAGACAGGCCGCAAGCGCCCAACCTTTCCGCCCCAGCTCCATCCCGCACACAGGGGCGCTCCCACAGAGATACAGTCGCTAAAATACCATCGAAGGGGGTGTGGAGGCTTCCCGTGGGCCCCCGGAGGAGCGCAGCACGGGGAAGCACTCGCAGCACTCGTTTCTTGACACACGGTCAATGCTTCCCGCCCAGGCCGATTGGCCGCTTCTCCGCGAGTCTGCGACACCCTCAGCATGAAGCTGCGCACCAAAATCATTAAGCACCGCGAAAAGGAGAACAGCGGCAGCAGCGGCGGCGGCAAGCGCAAGGCTGAGGCCTGCGCGCCCACCAGCCAGCCCAGGCCGCTGCAGCGGGCGCGCTGTGGCCTGAACGCCGAGCAAAAGGATGCCGAGATTCAGCAGGGCGCCACCGGCCCCGCAGCGGCAGAGGACGACGCGCAGGCGGCGCTTCTCCAGCGGGTAGCGCTGGCGTTTGGCGGGGAGCAGTGTGACAGGCAGTGCCTCCCAGCAAGGCAGCAACAGCAGCAGGAACAACAGCACCTGCCTCCAGTGGTGCCTCCAGAAACCAGTCCAGCACCCGCCCTGCACATCGTGTGCAGCGGCGAGGAGGCGCAGTGGCTTGACGTGATGCGCCTGCCGCCGCTGGTGGATCTGCGTGCCCTGCCCGCCGGCCTGGAGGCCCCTGGCTATGGCTGGCCCAGCGGCACTGGCACGCCGCGGCTCGTGGGCGTGCCTCGCACGCCCGCTGGGCTGATCTTCGTGCCGCTGGGCACGCCGCTCAGCCAGCACCGCCCGCTGCCCACCCCCGCCTTCCTCGATTTCGGCGGTCCAGCCGTGCCGCCCACGCAGGACCACTGGCGCAATCGCCAGCACCCACCATCGCCGTGCGTGGGCGGCGCCGCGGACGCCACCGCCACGCCGCAGGGGCACCCCGCAGGCGGCAGCGTGGTGGTCGCGCAGGCTTCGGCAGCACCAGCCGACATCCTGGTGCCCAATGCGGCGCGGCGGCAGCAGTGTGTGCCGCGCATCTCAGAGCTGCTGGCCTCACTGCCCATCTACAGCCCATCGCGCAGTGCCCCCTCTGCTGCTGCCGCTGCCGGGCTGCCTGCCGGAGCAGCGCCCAGGCTGAGGGCGGTGCTGCCTGCCTCGGCGTCCAGGACCCAGCTGCAGCAGCAGCGCTCTCCCTCCCCAGACTCCCAGGCCAGGGAGCCATCGAGGCGCGCACGGCGCCAGCGGGCGCAGAGCAGTGAGTTCCATTGGAGCGAGTACGGCGAGGAGGAGGAAGAGGAGGAGGAGGGAGGTGGCGGCGCCCTCATGTGGGTGCTGCACGGGGTGCCTTCCTGCCTGTCTGGCACGCCTGTGCTTGCCTGGCCAGCTGCTCCTGCGCTGGCTAACTTGGCCAGCTGGGTGCTGCATGTTTCCGTCTGACACCATCTTTCAGGGGCTGCTGCGCCCACTGCCTGCGCAGGCTGGCCGCCGGCACCGACGACGACACACCAGTCTCCTGCGCCACCTCCGCCAGCCAGAGCACTGGCAGCGGCAGGAAGCAGCGCCCTGCAGCCAGCCAGAGCACCAGCAGCAGCAAGAAGAGCCGGCCAGCAGCCAGCCAGCTGCAGCAGCACATGCAGCAGGGAGCGCTGCTGCGCCAGCTGCAGTCGCTGCTGCACCTGCCCGCGCCGCAGGCGGCAGCCGCCATGGGTGCCACCAAGCCCAACTTCTGCACCCTGTGCCGCTCGGTGGGCATCCAGCGCTGGCCCAGCCACAGGCCGCGGTAACCGGTCGCGCCCAACCAAGCGCAAACTGTCCCATCAAGGGCTGTCCCCTAGCAAGCACAACACCCTAGATAGGCTGGCTCCACTACTTGCCACGAAAGCTTAGATGTTGGCACCGCCAGTTTATTAGCAGCCATGAGAAAGCCATGTAGATGCAATACCAAAGGCCTGGGTGCAGGTGGCCAGGGCAGCTGTGCAGATGGGTGCCGCACCGGTCTACTGCTGCGCCCGGCCGGGCTCATCGGCATACGCCGCTGCCCTGCCGCTGCGCCCCTCCACCGCCGCCTCCACAGCCTTGGGGCCAGCCCCCACCAGGGGCGCCTCCACCCCCTGCCAGCTGCGCTTGTGCAGCAGGTAGTCGGCCGCCGACCTGGGCTGCACCAGGTCGGAGCGTCCAGCCGGCGCCGCGCTGACCTGCAGCGCCCGCTGCGCGTGCTGTGCCCGGGCCGTGCCCGGGTCGCCGCCGCTCCGCTCCTCCTCCCCTCCCTCCCCCTGCTCGCTGCCGCTGCCGCTGCCGCCACTGCCGGTGTATCCTCCGGACAGGAGGGAGAAGCGGGGCTCCTGTCCCCGGCGGCTGCCGTCAGAGCAGGCTGCGGCGCCTACATCCGCCTGCACACATGCGGCGCGCCAGCTCAGCACCCGAAAGCACCCAAACGTGTCCACTAGGGCTGCATGGCGCCCGCGCATCGCATCCCTTGGCCCTACCCCACACGCCTCACCTGCTGCTGCTGCAGCACTCCTTCAAAGTCCAGCCTGTACCGCCGCGAGTCCCAGCCCTCCGCCGCCCCAAACGCCAGCTGCGCCTCGTGCGGTGTGATGATGGGCGCCAGGTACTCCTTGCTGTCCAGGATCTGGCCCTGGGGGTCCGCCACCAGCACAAACACCTGCAGCAGGCGGCGGCGGCGGCGGGAGAGGGTGGGAGCCGGCGGGCGCCGCTGAGCTGTCCAGGGGGGCGAGGCGGGCCAGGCTACAGCGGCACCACCACCACCCCGCCGCCGCCCACCTCCGCACCCACCTCGATCTCCGGGAAGTTGGCCAGCTTGGCGGGGCTGGGCTTGCCCATGAGCAGCGTGTAGGTCTTCTTGCCGGCGGCCGCCGCCGCGGCGCGCAGGCGCTGCACCGCGTCGGCGTACCCCGCCGCGCCCAGCGTGCCGACCAGGATCCCCACGATGCTCGCCTCCCGCGCCTTCTCCACAAGGAAGTACCGCCGCCGCAGCGCCCGGCTGATCTCCAGCGGCAGGCCCTCGCGCAGCGCCGCGCTGCTGCCGCCGCCGCCACTGCCGGGGCTGGCGGCGCCGTCAGCGGGGCTGGCGACCGCGGCGAGGGGCAACAGGCTGGGGTCCAGCATCGCCCAGCGGCACGTGTTGTAGGTGAGCTGCAGCTGCAGCAGGGCGGGGGCATCTGGGGCGCCCACCCACACCAGCCCGCAATCCTGCGGCGCCACCCCAGCTGGCAGCCGCCACTGGTACCCGGCCAGGCTGTGCTGGCCGCCACTGCTGCTGCTGGGGACGTCATCACGGCTGACCGGCGAGCCTGCTGCTGGAGACGGGCCTACCTGCGGCGCACCTGCACCTGCGCCGCCGCTGCTGCTGGGCGCCGCAGAACAGCAGGCAGCTGATCCGCAGCCTGTCTGCTGCGGGGCTGCCTCTTGCTGCTGCTGCTGGCTGCCGCAAGCACCTCCTCCACAGCAGCCAGCTTGTGTCGGCTGCGCCTGCTGCACTCCCTGCTGCCCCTCTGGCTCCATGTGCTGCTGCGGCACGGTGGGAAACACCAGCTGCGCTGTCGCCCCGGGGCCCTGCTGCTGCTCCAGCAGCTCCAGCAGCGCCGCCTTGAGTTGATCCAGCCGGTGCAGCAGTGGCTGGTCAACAAACACGAGCACAGGGCCGCCGCCGCCGCTGCTGCCGCTGCTGTCGCTGGCACCGCCGCCAGCAGCCAGCAGCGAGCTGGCTGCCAAGCATGCAGCTGCCGCCTGCACGTTGAGCTGCTGTTGCGGGAAGACGAAGAAGGCTGGGAGGCGGGAGAGCTTGGTCAAGGAGGCGCGGCCATAGTGGACCTGCCATGTGAGAAGAGCGGGGGCAGGCACGGTGGAGGGCGGGTGTGGCTGGAGGTCGGGGGTGGTGTGCAAGCGGTTTGCAGACCGTGGCCACATTCAAGGCAAGCCCTGCCCACACGTGGGCCTGCCGTAGCCCCCCCCTGCTGCCCCCAGACACGGACCGGTCCCCAACGCACCACGCACTGCGCATTCACGTGCGCCGCCGCCACCTCGTCGACGCTCAGGCTGTTGTAGCTGGTGTCGGCTAGGATGTAGGCCTGCATGCATCACCATACGCTGTGGATGACGGCTGGGCGGAGGGTGTGGGCTAGGCAGGGGGCCAGGGCTGCCACAGGAGCGGCTCCACATGGACGCACCTGGATGTAGTGGCCCCTGCTGTCGCAAGCTGCTTGTACGGCTTTACACACGCGTGAAGCATGCTGCAGATATTCGTCTGGGAACTGTAGCGTGACGACAGAGAAAGTGCGGCTGCAAAGGTAGTCTGCAGTCTCCTGCACTCGCCAGCGCTCCTCCAGCATGGTGTATGACTGATGCAGATCACAATTGGGCAGCGTACAGTGGTCGATAAGCACGAGGCCAGTTGTACGGCTGGGGACATGCAGTACATCCTACTGGGGGGCCCTCGGGGCTGCACTGGCATCTGATCGGCTGCTGTTTGCGTTTGGCGTAGTGCAAAACGGGTGCTGAGGCCCAGGCTTGCTTCCCTGGCGTTGTCGACTCCACTTCTCCCCCAAGAACCCGCCAAAAAAACGCTGAATACCAGCAGCAGCTCATGTAAGCGCGAGCAGACCTGCAGCTTTCTCTCCTGGGTGTTCAGGCTGCGCCGCCGCTGCCTCCGCCGCCACTTCGCCACACTGCCTGTCTGTGTGCCTGTCTTGCTCTGCCATGCTTTCTGTCAACTGAACGACAACGTTTGGTGGCCCCCTGCAGCGTGCACTGACAGGCGCAAACCCTCAGCGTTGAGCGACGCCCTCACGCCGCCACGCAAGGGTAGCAGGCAGCATCGCCAGGCGCGGGATGTCGACCAAGGCGGTGCGCGCGCTCTACCGCCTCTTCCTGAGGCAGGCCAGGAGCCTGGAGCGGCAGGGCCTGGAGGCGCTGGACATCCGCATGCCGGTGAACAAAGGTGGGTGGCCGGTGCCGCCGTGGTGAGGGCCGGGCAGGGGGTGCAGGTCGCCTCGGTCCCCGGTTGATTGATCATCTAGCGTGGTTGCCCGCCCTGCTCGCCGCAGAGGCGTGGCTGTTCCAGGGCGGCAGCCACGCCTGGTCGCCGCCGCGGGACGAGTTCCGCCTCAACTCCCTCAAGTCCCTGGTGCCCTGGGCAGCCCAGGTGGGTGGGCCCTGCGCCCGCCTGTGGCGGTGTGCATCGCAGATATGCAATTGGGCTGGTTGCTTCGCCTGCTGAGCTGGTTGCTTCGCCTGCTGGCCAGCCCTGCAAGCAGTCGGGAAGCATGCAGCTCATGTGCACCGCGGCCCTCTGCTTCCGCAGGGCGTCACTAGCGGCAGCCTGTCCCCCGCCGACCTGCGCCAGCTCATCAGCCGAGCCTTCCGGCAGCCGCCGGCAGGCAGCAGCCGGGAGGAGCAGCTGGATCGAGCCTTCCAGTCGCTGCGCCTGCTCAGCGACCAGATACACATGCAGGCACGTGCCCTGGCTGCCGCCGCTGCCTGCTGCCTGTGCCAGCGCCAGCGCTGCCGCCTGAGCAAGCACTGCGCTTGCCTTCCGTACTGGCTGGCCGCCCCACCAACCTCGCCCGCTGCTGTTCTTTCTTTCTTTGCAGGAGTGTTCCAGCTCCTGCACCACAGAGGGGGTGCACGTGGAGGTGACCACCGCCTATGTTGGGCGGCAGTCAGACCTGGACCCCACCTATGAGAAAGAGGAGGGGGTGGCCGACAAGCACTACTTCACCTACCGCATACGCGTGTCCAACTGCGGGTGGGCGCTGGGGGCCACCCTGGCTCTGCCGTCGCTGCTGCTGCTGTTGCTTGCCTGCACCACTGCATCAGCCACCTGCCACTGCCAGGCCGCCCCGTGAGGACAAAAACCAGGAAACAGGTACTGCTGACCGGGTTGCCCCCAGGCAGCGCCACGCGCTTGCCCGGAAGACAGGCGGCCGCTGAGTGGCGACTTCGAAAACAATTCTGAGGGCGGCTGGCTTGTTGCTCCAAGCTTTACGTGCATTTGCCCTGCACCCCCATCATCCAGCGCACTCAGGGTGCTACGTTGCACCTGCCAAGCGGCTGCTGCCTCTCCCGCCGGCACGCGCTTCCCACAGAGACTGCTGGACGCCATGCTCCCTCCATGCCCCCTCCGTGCCCGCCTGCAGGGAGGAGACGGTGCAGCTGCTGGGGCGGCACTGGATCATCCAGGACGCCAGCGGCAAGGTGCTGACAGAGGTGGCCAAGGGGTCGCGAGGCGTGGTGGGATGCACGCCGTTGTTAGAGCCGGGAGCATGCTTCGAATACTACAGGTGCGGGCGGGGCTAGGGCTGGTAGGGGGAGTGACGAGATGGGCTGGTGAGGCGTAGCTCTTTGCTGGTGTGCCTTCACCCCCTGTCTTGCTCTTCTGCCACCGCAGCGGCACCGACCTGGACCAGCCCTGCGGCAGCATGCGCGGCAGCTTCCAGATGGCGGTGGTGAACCAGCGCAAGCCGCAGGACAAGTGGGTGCGCACGTTTGACGCCCTGGTCGCGCCCTTTGCCTTTGTGCGGCCCCGCAACGGCGACGGCGGGTGATGGCATGTGATGTGAGGGCGGCTGCCTGAGAATCCCAGCGCAGTTGTATCATTGTAAAAGCATTCTCAAAGGGCTGGTGTTGAAGTGTCCATACAGTGTAGGTCAAAAGTCAGGGCAGAAAGGAACGGTGGCGGCGAACCGCGACGGCAGCAGAGAGCGAGCCGGACAGGAGAGCAGGGGAGCAACAAGCAGACAGACGAAACGCAGAAGCAGAACAGCGTCAGGAAGGAGCAGCAAGGTGGACGCATAAAAGTGTGCACACAGAGAAATCAAGGCAGCACCTCTGGGTGGAGATGTGCGCTGGCGGCATCTTGCCAGGCGGCCCCCAGATTTGCGTCAGGTCGGGCGGGGCCAGGGCCAGGCCTCCTGCCCTCACCCCACCATGATGTCAAAGTCGTCCAGCTTGTCGTTGTACCGCAGCACCTTGCGCTTGATCTTGCTGGTGTCCACCCTGCAGCAGCAGCGTGGTGAGGTCGCTTCAAGCGGGGCAAGGCTTGCAACGGGGGCACAGCGCGTGCAAGGGAGGGCAGGGCACCCACCATGTCACAAAGTCTTCCATGCTGCGCGTGACCAGGAAGGCGGGGTCGGTGACTGCAGCAGGAGGGTGGGGGCATGTGCGAGCTGGGGGCAGTGCTGCATTCCACAGCACCACAGCACCGCACGCACGTGCCCAGGCAGGGGTGCGGGCTGAGCTGGCGGCTGCCTCACCTGTGTCGGGCCCCACCCGCACGTGTCCCTGCTCGATGAAGGTGCACGCCTCGCGCAGCGTCTCGCTCATCTTGAGGCGCACCATGATGACCGACAGGCGGCGGCGGCAGAAGGACGCGGTGCTCAGCTTTTCCAGCTGCACCAGGCTCTTCTTAGTGGTGATCACCCCCATGTTGTGCAGCCTGCGGGGAGCGCAGGTGGCGAGGAGAGGGCAGAGGGGAGGGCGAATGTCAGGGGCGCAGGCCGGGAAGGAGGACGGTGGGATGCGGCACAGCGGACAAGCAGCTCGCAAGCACCAGCTGTAGCGTGGCAGCCGAGGCCTGCCTGCCCCAGCCGGCCCCTGCCCCTCACTTGTCCAGCAGCTGGTCTGTGAGCTCGATGCGGGTGGAGTCGCGCGCATCCAGCCGCTTCAAGGTGGCCACCAGCTTGGTCACCATGCCGCACACCTTGTTGTACTTGGAGTAGTCGTCACGGTCCTGGATGTGGTACCGCCGCATCACCTGCACAGCAATGGGCGGCGGGGTGGGTTGCTTCGTCGGCGGTGGCGTGCGCACAGGCGCTGGGGGAACAGGGCGGCCGCCCACAGGGATGGGTTGCCGGCAGCACGGGTCTGCAGCCAGCGCAGCCATACGCAGGGACTGTCCACACCACCCAGAAGCTACACATGGTGCGGCAAAGAGCTCGAGGCGTGAGTGCCACCACCCACCTGCAGCTCCCGCTGGTTGTGCTCATTCTTCCATTGCAGGAAGTCAACTTTTCTGAGCAGCTTGTGCTCATGGTGCTTCAATTTCCGCATCTTGCAGCTTGGTGTTCTGAACTAGCTCACTCTGCAAACAGTGGCAGGCCAGGGTCCATTGAGCACCCGGCCCCCCAGGAGGGCGGTGGCGGCGGCAGAGCCACCTTCGTCAGTGGCCGCGGCGCTGACTCTACTGCGTTCAGCTGTGCAGCAGCAGCAGACTGCGACTGCTGCGGAGCTAGGGCTGCTGCCGCCAACTCTTTGCAAGCATGACATCTCGCCAAGGAGAGCAAGCCTGGGCCGCGCAACAACCGGCAGCATCGGTTCAACTTCTGCAACGCCGCGGCTCTACAGAAGAGCACTCACCTGCCAAGCGCATGCCAATTGCGCCAGAGCCGAGCCGTCGAAGGCTGCGCTGTTATCAAAGTGAAGTTAGCCGCAGAACGAGGCTTCGATGGAGCTCTTATGGCATCATGCATGAGAGCCACACCTGGCGCCAGCGTACGCTGGCTGCCGCTGCCGACCCAGTGTGCGTTGTTTGCGACAGAGTGCTTGTTGTTGCAGTAAACAGCAAACGTTTAGTGCAACACAAGTGGGCAATGCGAAAGAAGAAGTCAAAACTCTCAAGGGATCAAGAAGCAGCCTACATTCAGTTCTCATTGGTACACCTCTCAACGGCCGGGCCCAGCCCGCCACAGGGAGCATCCAGCCGGCCTCAAGGCGCCGCCGCATGTTGCTGCTGCTGCTGCAGGTGGCCGCCGCCGCTGCCGCCGCTGCTGCCGCCCTCGTCGTCCAGCCGGCGCAGCAGGTATTGCACCTCCACCTCCTTGGTCAGCGGCATCACCCACTGCTCATACAGCTGCGCCACCACCTCGGGCCGCACCTTGTAGCTGCCGCCGGCGCTGCCGTCGCCATTGCTGGCGCTCAGGTCCTGCCCAAAGGTGGCCGCCTTGAGCCGCACCCGCTCAATCACCTGCAGGCGGCGCAGGGCAGGTGTGAACACGAGCTCCGCACCCAAAACCAGCTCGCACCGCCCACCTCCTCACCCCCGCCACGTGCCACATCTGCACTGCTCGCACTCCATCCCCACCCCACCATCCCCCCACCTTGAGCTCCACCGCTCGGTCGGTGAGCAGGTCCAGGATGGCGCCGCCGTCCTGCCTGCGGATCAGCTCCGTGTACTCGCCCGCCTGCTTGCGGAACTTGGCCTCCGCCACAAACATGCCGTAGTGGATGCGCTTGGACAGCGCCTGGGGCACGGGGACAGGGGGTGATTCCGGGGGGGCAGCACACGCCGGGTGGGCGGCGCAGCGCACGGGCGGCCAGCAGCGACTGGCAAGCCCGCAGCCCACGCGCCCCGGCAGCCCAGGTCGCCCCACCCGCAGGCAGCAGCTCGCCGGCCAGCCATGGGAGCAGCGCTGCCGGCATGCGCGCCACCCCCACCTGCAGCGTGGTGACGTCGTTCATGGCGCAGGAGCCGTAGTTGTGGTCGTCCCCCGGGGCCGCAATCTCGGGCAGCAGGTGCTGCAGGTACATGTCCATGATGAGGCCGTTGATGTTCACCGCGGTACTGCAGGGGGCCAGCACCTGCGGGCCGCAGAGCGAAGGGCGCGCGGTGCATGCGTCGACAGGGGCAAGCCGCTTGGCGGGACAAGCATCGCGCATCTTGGCTTTGCGGCTGCTGGTCGCCGGCGGCGAGGCGTCCCCGTCCCGCAGCGCACCTGCTCGTAGGTGATGGGCGGCAGCACCAGCGGCGGTAGGTCCTCGGGGAAGAAGGCATACTCGTCGGGGCTGGTGTAGCGCCGGATCTTGCCGTGAACCTGCTCCATCTCACGCAGCAGGTACTCGAGCAGCGAGTAGCGGCAGCCGTCGGGGCGGAAGCCCGGCACCGGGATGGCGTCGGGCTGGTACACCGGCTCGTTGCGGGCAAACTGGGCCCGCTCAATCAGGCTAAAGATGATGGTGTCCTCCAGTCTGATCAGGGTCTGCCGGATGTTGGCCAGCGACAGGGCTGAGCTGAGGTCCGCCTCGGCTGCCTGGTCGTGCACCTGCGCCGGGCTGCTGTGCATCGGCGCGGCGTTGGCCACCATGGTGCTGCGATGCTGGGCAGCCTGCCACCGCCTGTGCCACCGCCGCCGCGCTGCCAAGCCGGGCCGTGCTGCCCTGCTGCTGCCTGCCTGCTGCTGGTGCTGCTGCCAGCTGCAGTGTTTGAGCTGCCTGCAGATGGCGGCTGTGGCCATGCTGCACCGAGAGGCACGAGGGTGGGCAGGGGGGCTTGCGAGCACACCCTCTGTATCACCAAGCAAATCTAACGATCCGGCGCCCCTGAAACCTGGGCGTGCGCCCAATTGGCGCGCTCTTCATCGCCGATAGGTGTCCCGCCTTGCCGCCCGGCGGGACAGGCAGGCGACCATGACCAGTGGCACCTTCCCGCGTCCCGCATATTCTCTTCTTCTTCCCCCACAACAGCAACGGCCAGGAACACCACCCTCTCTGCGCAGGTGGAGTTTACATGTAATGTAGAGGTCTGACATCCACGTTGGACGCGGTCACCAGAGGCGGTCAGCTATCGGTCAGCAAACTTTTTGTTGGAGAAGCAGCAGCGCAAGCAAGAAGCAAATGTCAAGTGTAACATTTCCCCCACAGGTGGGGTTGAAACGCTCATGAAATGAATGTTCACTAGCACACACAAACCGGACAAGAGGGCGGCTGCAATAATGCGAAGAAAACTGAGATAAGTGACATGCACTGGCATCAAAACAGCGTGTTGTCCTGCTGCTTGGCTTTGCGCAGCAGCTTGAAGGCAGCATCTGCCTTGTGCTGTACCAGCGCCAGCGACATGTTCTGCCCAACCTGCACAGCAGACACATCCCACGATCAACCGCTGGATGCACTGCCACGGCAAAGAGGGCTCACATCGGGATTGGCAAGCACCTGGCGTGGCACAAGCACCGCTCCGCACCTCAAATATCGGTGGCTGCTCCGGCGGCACCTTAGCTGCTCGCCGGCTTTGGCCCCGGCCGCGCTCAGCTCCGCAGGCCGCCACCACTGCTTGCAGGCTGCTCAAGTCATATGCGCAGTCCTGGGGCGTATAGGTGTTGCGCCCCTGCCGCAGCTTCACAAACTCCTCAAACGGCTTGTTCAGCCGGTTCCACTCGCAAGTGGGCTGCGCCACCACATGGCTCACGGGCCTGGTCTGGTCCTGGGAAGGGTCATACTTGCGCCCGTGGAAGCCTGCCCTGTGCAGGAACATGAAGGAGGAGTCGGGGTGGTGCTGCAGCAGGCCCTGCACCCGCAGCTTGGACCAGCCCTGCAGACACGCACCAGAAACGGGGAGAGGCGGGGCTATTGAGCAGCTACAGCACGGCACCAGCAGCGTCAGGCATGGCATGATGCCTCGCTCGCATGGGCAGGACACTTGGAGCCCACCTTGAGCCGTCCAGACAGCGGCAGCGACAACGGTTGGGGGACCTGTGGCAGGAGCGCAAGGGTGGGCCAGCCATCGACCGCAGGGACGGTGGTCTGCTGACCCAGCCAAGACAAGCCAGCACCCCAGCCCGCCCCACCCCAACAGCCCAACAGCAACAACAGCCAGCCAGCCACCCGACGGTACCGTCCCTGCATGCCCACCTGGTAGTACTGCTCCTGCTTGCCCGCCAGCATGAAGGCAGCCAGGAAGGTGTCCTTGTCGCCATAACCGTACCAGTAGCTGAACTCATCCCGCGTATTCAAAAACAGCAGCCATTCCAGCACGTCGCGGTGCTGGGCCCTGTGAGCAAGCAAGCGGGAACCGGGCGCGGAGGTGGCGTTTGTGCTGCAGGCGGGCGGCCACACCCAGCGCTCGGCTACTGGCGCTGCTGCTGTTGCATGAAGGCAGCACCAAGGCATGGGCACGCCCCATCAAGTGCCCCACCTGTTGAGCATGAACTGCCCCGTCTCTGCCTGCCACACAGGCGCCCGGCGGCCGCCCCTGGGTTCAGCTGCTGCCCAGGGGTCGGCCAGGCCGATGCGTGCAAACAGCTCCACCCGCTTGCACCAGGCATCTGGCCAGAACATGCTGCCCTGCTGGATGTAAGAGGGGTGGGCAAACAGGGGCTCGGGGTCTTGCAGCGGTGTGGAGTCTCCGTCTAGCAGCAGTATCTCATCAAAGGGGGCTGCATACGCGGCAAACACTTTGACCTTCCACCTGCAGGGTGGGCGAGTGTGTCGGTGTAGTGGGCGATGATGTGTGTGAGTGTGTGGGTGTGGTCAGGGATGGGATGTGCCAGGGATGGGATGTGCCAGGTCACTCGAGAAGTGGGCTATCAGCAGGGAGGGAGGAGGAGGGAGCTCTGCAGGCGAAGCACCGCGGGTGGGGCGTGCCTCTCACCCATTGAACAGCTCCTCATCTCCCGAAGGGAACAGCCAGCGGTGGTGCTTGGGATATGGCAGCTTGCTGGCATCTATGAGCTGCACCTGCCGCAAGTGCTCCTGCACACAGCCAGTGGAGGGATCGCCGGGGCTCGACTCAGAAGGGCCCCAGCTGAACACACAACCAGCAGTGAAGAGTCCACAGCTCACCTGCAGGAAGGCTTGCGTGCTACTGCTGATGGCGTCCAGCTTGGATGCGCCCCAATACCTGCAACCATCGAAGCGCTGGGCTCCATTCGGTGCGTCCACGGTTGAGTCGGAAGAGTCGGGTGCCGGCACGAGCTGCGCCTGCATTGCACGCCCTGGGCGCAACCCACTCCAGCGCAGCCCAGCGCTGCTCACATGATGGCCACAGGAAGCGTGCAGTTGAGGTGACGCTGCAGGACGTAGAGGTTGACAAAGGCGTTGGCGATGTATTCCTGCCCGCCTGCCGCCAACACGATGCCGCGCTGGGCCCTGCCCTTGGCCGGCTCGGGCGCCGAGCCCGCCAGCTGCTGCGCAATGATGTGCCGCATGGCCCGCACGTCCCCGCGGAAGCCTGCGTCGATGGCGGGGCGCAGGCTCCAGCACAGGTACTCCACCTGCATGGTGGGAGCGTCGATTGTGCATGTTCTTCGTCAGGACACTGCTCCCCGCCGCTGCTGCCGCCGGCGGTGGCTCGGGACCGGGACCCAATGGTGCAGCTGGCTTCTGGGCCACCTGCACCCTTTCAGTATGCCTTCACTGGGTTGCTGTGGCCCTGCCGTGCGCGAAAGTTGAACTCACCTCAGACTTGCACTTCGTAACTTGCTCTATGCGCTTTTTCAAGCGCACCAGGACTAGTGTAGTCTTCTTCGACCATGATGCTGCCAATAGAAGGATGGGGATCAGAAGCAGTGCGGCAACGACACCAAACACTATTTTCTTCTCTTTTGCAGAGGGCTTGCGGGGCTTGCGGCCATTTTGAGCGGCCAGCACGACCTTCATCTCTCTGGAAGCCGATCAGGAGGCCGAATGCTCACGAACAGTGCAAGGCACTGGCGCCCGAAGTACATGCATCCGTCCAGCCGTGCCACCTGGCGGCCTATGTCATGCATGCACTGCATTCCACTGTGCTGCTGCTGCATGGAGGGGTTCCAGTTACAAAGCAGAGTACCAGTAGCAGCAGGCAAGGGCAAGCAGGAAAGTGGTGCCAGCATGAGGGCGTTGAGCAGCGGGTGTTCGGCTCTACGATATCGGCAAGGGCCGGTGAATATTGACCAGTAGGTGTGAATGGGGGTAATTTGAAAACCAATGGGAGGGATCAAGGGGGGGAGGGAGTGTGCATGCAGCCATCACACGAAAGATCAGACAAAAGCATGGTGGCGTTGTGCAGTGGCGTTGTGCAGTGGTGGGGGCAATAATCATCATGGGACGGTGCTTGCGCCACTGCGACGAAGAAAACTGGCGATTGGAAAAGGGAAAGCAATGCAAACTGGTTTAAGAAAATGCTGCCTACTCCTGGCACAGCACTATGGCCGTCACGTGACTCCGCAATGAGTGGCCATCGGGACATCCTGTGAGGTCACGTTGTGAGGAAGGGCATCCTGCTCGTCTTCAAAGATAGACACAGCCCAGGGAAGTGATGGCGCAAAAGGGCGGGCTGCACCAGGGGAGGAGCGGGCAGCGCATGTGAGGCATGTGCCACGGCAAGAGAGCAGGGAAGAGTCACGGCACGGCCCCGGCGTCCCGCATGCCGCGTCCCCACCCCACCCACCTGAAGTGGCCCCAGTTGAAGTTGTGCGTCTGCAGCGGCACGCCCCCAAAGGTGGCCGTGAAGTTGGCCAAATAGTCCTGCAGGGGGGCAAAGGCAGGCAGAGGGGTGCGGGGCGCAGGCGACAGGTTGGCATGTCGTGTCAAGAGGGACTCTCTGGTGTTCTTCCCGACCTGGGCAGGCCAAAAAAGAGCAGCCAGCCTCGCCTGCGTGGCCTCTATGAAGCCGTTCCAGTTGTGGGAGATGCCCACGCCGCTCAGCTTGCTGATGTCCAGGCGCCGCTGCGACCGGGGAGGTGGAGGAGGGGGGGCAGGCAGGCTGGGCTTGAACTGGCCAGCCTCCCTTTGCTGAGCTACCGTCGCCGGCCCGCTCGCAGCCAGCTGCTGCCAGGCGAGCCGGCCAGCCAGCCACCAGCGCTGCCCGAGGGCTCACCGTGGGGCGGGTGAACTCCACCGCGTCGCGGCTGCCGGCTGCCAGCGAGGCGTTGGCCAGCACAAAGTTCATGAGCAGGTCCTCGCCGTTGAACACGCGGTCCACTGCGGGCGAGGTGGCGAGGCAGGAGGAGGCAGGCAAGGCAGGTTGGCGAGTGAGTGCACGCAGGGAGACATGGAGCAGGGAGGCAGGGAAGGGGCGGCCGTCGCACAGGTGTGCGCTGCGCCCGCCCACCTTCCGCCCTGGCCGGCGCCACCGCATCGGCCCAGTATGCGGGCAGCGCGGTCCACGTGTCCAGGAAGGCGGCCCCCGTCAGTACCGCGTTGTACATGCTGCGCTCAATCGAGTACCTGCAACGTCGGGGAGGGCGGTGGCGGCGGGTGGTGACACAGGTGGCGGGAGGTACAAAACGGAAGAGAACCAAAGGCGCCCCCGCTCGGCAACAGGCAGGTGCATTGCGACTGACTGCAAACGAGCCGTACGCCTTCTGCCGTGGACGAGCCTTTCCAACCCACCCAGACAGGCTCAGAAGCACACACAAACGGCAGCCCAAACCAGGCGCACCTCTCCCCGCGGAACTCCAGCGGCGTGCCCTCTATCAGCCGCGGGTAGAAGCCCACCATCTTGGCGGGCTGCATGCGCCAGGTGGCAAAGCCGCGCTCCAGGTCAGAGCAGGGCACCATGATGTCGTCGTCGAGAGACAGCACGGCCCTGCGGGGAGGACGCCGGCGGGAGGGAGGGTTGGACGCAGGCGGGATGCACGGAGCCTGAGCCCGCCCCATGGCCGGTTTGGGGCCTTGGAGCGCACAGCCCTTGCCGTCGGCGGCTCCGCAGTAGGCCCCAGCCGCACTCCCTGCTGCCCGCGCCGCAGCGCGGCCGCACCTGTTGCGTATGAGCGGGTCCTGCCTGAAGCGGTTGTTCAGCGAGTTGAGCGCCTCCAGGCGCACCCGCACCGGCACCGCGCTGTCAAAGTCGCGCTCAGGCACCGGCGGCTTGCCTGCGGTCAGGGCGAGGGGCGGGAGTGTGAGGGGCCGGCAGGCGCACTGGAACCTGCACAGCTGACTCCCTTGTTGTTGCGTGGACAGCAGGCCCCTGCCGGCGCTGCTGCCCTCACCCTTGTTCCACACCAGCACGATGTCGGAGACGGAGGGGCAGCGGCTGTAGTGGCGCACAAAGTGGCGCAGCGTGGACATGCGCGCCTCGTAGCTCATGCACAGCAGGGTGAACTGCGGCGGGGCAGGGGCGCGGCGTGCGCATGTGAGCGGTGCAGTGGGTGGTGTGTGTCGTGTGGTGGTGGTCGGGCGCAAGTGCTGGCCCAACGCACAGCATGCACCCTGTGCGATGGAATGCGCCGGGAGCAGCTGCGACCCAGCATCGCCGCCCAGCTGCCGCGCTTGCCTGGCTGAACTGGCCGTCCACGGTGAAGGGCTTGGAGGTTTCAAGGAAGGGCGCCACGTAGCCGTACAGGCCCACTGCACGCAGGCACGCCCAGGAATGCGGTGATTGGGTGGCTTGGGAACGTTGACGAGCAGCTGTCCTGGGAACAGCACCACCACTGCTCAAGCCAGCCATCCACCCAGGCATGCTCGCTGCACGTGCAGGCGCAGTCACCTAGGCCCAGCAGCGCCGCCACCGCCAGAAATGCCATGCCAAAGGTGCCCAGCTGCAGCCGTAGCGGCACGCAGCGCCGCCGCCGAGCAGCCTGCTGCTGCGCACGAGCGCTGCCGCTGCGTGCCAAGCTGCCTGCGCGCGACATGCCTGACAGGGGCGGTGGAGAGATGGCCCCGCCACTGCCACGTGTCGACATGCTGCGAGTGACGCGGTACTGCAGCGTAGTGCCGCCCGGTGGCGACTTGATCTGTGCGGCCTTGCCCAGCCTCCCCTCTTCCATCGCCGCCTGCTGTGCCAGCTTGGATGCGTTGCTGCTGGTGGGTGACAGCGTCTGCTGCTGCTGCTGCTTGTCGCCCAGCTTCTCCACGGCTGCCAGCACAACGCCATCCACAGCGCCGGCCTCGCCAGAGTCGCCACTCAGCAGCGGCGCCGCACACTCCACGTCCAGCTCAAGGAGCGACCGCGCTTTCTTCCTGCTCAACTGGAGACGTGAAAGGAGAAAACGAGCATCCCGGCTTCAGGCAACTGGGGCTGAGGCAGAAGAGCAGGTGCTGACTATGCGCCTGATGGCAGTGTGTGTGTGCAACGGCGCTTTGGCAGCAGCAGGCAGCGCCCTGCTCACCTGCCCAAGCTGCATCCTCCTCATCAGTGAGCTGTGCAGCAGGATACCGGTGCGCATGGGGCTGCGCGGCTCGCGCCCGACTGCTGGTGCGCTGACAAGCCCACCGCTGATTGCCCAGCGCCGAAAGGCGGGGCTGTGCGTCATGCTGCAGGCCAACGGCAGGCGCGTGGTGGGCAAACGAGAGGCGTCAGGATGCAGTGCAGGTTTTGAGCCTGGTGCCTGCTGACCGCACCAGCAGGCATCAATGCCGTGGCAGATTGGAGATGTTGGAAGCGCTGCTGCTCTGCTGCTCCTGCTTGCCTGATGCTGACTGCCATCCACACGCCCGCCAGGAGAATCCAGGGCACGACGATGCGCACCACCGTCAAGATTGCTCGCCGCGAGATGGGCCCTGCAGGCCAGCACGACATGACAAGCAGCGGTGCTTACTCGCTGGTGCCTAGGTCGACGTCGCGCCTCCCGCTGAGCACCACCACTTATCTCTGCCCCAGTGTGGGCAGCAGCACGGACGCTTACCTGACGCGACGCGGTCACCGTCGATGGCTGCAATCCACTCGCCGCTGGGCAGCTGCTGCACATCAATGTGATGGTGCCTCTCGCTGCAGAGAAACACAAACCAAGTGGCGATGGTCAGGTGCTGCCCCAGCCCTAGGTCACCCGGTGCAGCCACGTGAAACATGCCACGCCCATGCCAGGCGCCCAAGAAACTGGCTGATGCGGAGGCCAGGGCAGCACCTGTTCCACGATGGCTTGCGGTGGCCGCTCAGCCCGCTGATGTTGTGCTCAATGGGGTGCTGCTCAAACTCAGTGGGCGACAGCTTGGTGACCTCAAAGGCAACCAGCTGCAGCAAGGAGCACAGGACACGTGCACAAGTCACCCGTGCAGCGCTGTGCACCTTGGCAGCGTCCCGGCTCGCTCCTTCCCGGGCAGGTTACTGCAGTGCCCAGCCTGTCCCAAGCCCCCAGCAGCGGCACCCACCCGATGGCCATAGGTCGCGCCGCAGTCCTGGCCAAAACGGTACAGCCGTCCGCCGTGCTTGACCAGGCGGCCCGCATTGCGGAAGCCCGCGGCGCGCGCGCCATTGGCAACGGGGTTGGCGGGGTGCGGCTCCCAGGGGCCCAGCGGCGACGCAGCGTGCCACACCTCCAGGTGGCCTGCAGCAGCCGGCGACGAGTAGCCCCCGTGAGGCTGGCGATAGCGCATACACATACACCTCCCTCCGTTCGCCTGCATGTCTGCCGGCCATGCCAAACCCTGCGCAACAGCCATGGCGCCAGTCCAGGCCAGCCGGCCAGCCTCGCGCACCGTTCTTCATCGCCCCGGGCCGCGTGTGGTCGCTGCCCAGCAGGTACCAGCGGCCGCCCCACTCCACCAGGCTGGCGTCGATGAGCGGGCGCGGCAGCAGCAGGCGGTCCTCCTGCCAGGCCAGCGGGAAGTCGGTGGCGCGGTACAGGCTGAGCCGCCCCGACCCGCTGGCCTCTGGCAGCATGTAGACCTGCAGGCATGTGCGGTGGGCTGCAGGAGGTGAGCCAAGCGCCGGGGCGTGGCGGCGCCTTTCGCTGGACTCACCGCCCTCACCCCAGCACAGCAGCGCCAGTGCAGCTCATGCGCAGCTGCAGGGGGCGCACCTGGCCGTTGTGCTCAAACACGAATGGGTAGGACAGGTGCCAGGCGAGGTCGAGGACCACAGCCTGGTGCTGGAAGGTCATGCCACCGTCGGAGCTGACCGCCACCCCAATCTGCCCCTTCTGCTGCTCCGTGGACTTGGTCTCGTAGAACATGTAGAGCTTCTGGTCGCGCTGCAGCAGGAACGGGTCCGCCACTGCGCCAGCGGCAGCCAGGGGCAAGAGCGCGTTTGCAAGGATGAAGGCGAGCAAGAGCCTTGCGGCAGCGGCGATGAAGGGAGCAGGTACAAACACAGGACGTGGTGGGCTGTGCTGCGCCGGCTCCTCCCGCCCATTGCGCCAGCCACCCAGCCCTCCCCCTTCCCTCACCGAAGTTGCTGGGGGAGTCGCCCACGGAGGCGCAGGTGAGCACAGGGTTGGCCACCGGCCACGCCACGCTCGTGTCCTGCCGCGGCTCGTGCAGCTCCAGAGGCTGCAGCTGCAGCGGCGAGGGCCCCTTGAAGATGCCGATGCTCCAGGATCCCTGCACCAGGTGGCATCCCACGAGCGTTGGCGAGGAGGACAGGCTGGTCTGACTGAACAACAGGCCCCGGCCAGCAGGCGGCCGCGGCAGCCGGCGCGGCAGCTGGGCGCCTGCCGCACCTCGTTGTCCTTCTGGCATGGCCCCACGGTGCCCAGCTGCAGGAACCACCAGACGCCCAGGCCGGCCTCCAGCAGGGTGTAGCACAGCAGGCAGGCGACCACCAGCGCTGCCGCTCGAGGGGCGGAGGCGGTGGTTGCCAAAGGCCCACTGGCAGCCCTGTCCAGCTGCACCCGCTGGCTGCCGCTCCTGGCGGGCATGATGTGCTGATAGCTATGCCACAGAGGCGCCGCTCAGCGTGCAAGTCCGACGCGGTTGGCTGCACCGACCCTGCCCGCCGCACCGGTGCCTTGATCAGCGGCTGGAGGGTTCACTGATGGGCATCGCAGGGCGGCGAGGAGGAGGGGCGCTTCTGCGCCGAGAGCGGAACGACAGAGCAGCGAGCTTGGTTACCCAACGGAGCTTGGCTACTGCACACGGACGCCCGATGGTACAAAGAAGTGTATTTGCCTCTGAGGAATTGAAACCAGAAGGCAGGCCAGGAGTTGGGTCCGAGCTGGCAATCTCGCACGGAATCCCGCACTCCTCCTTCCCTGCTTGCTGCAGCAATGCATCGGTGCAAGCCATTTGCCAGTAGCGTAGGTAGGGCTTGGGTTGGAGACTGTGTCTGCTGGCACTTGCAGGCGGTGCAATTGCGCTGAGGCTTGTCCTGGCCCCAGACTGCGTCTGGGTGACATTCAAAAGCCAAAAAGTTGACGGGAAAGCCGGCAGCACCGCCACGGGATACCCGGGGCTGTGCACGGCAGTGCCTCCCGCCCTGACTGGCGGCAAGGCAGGGGAGCGCCCGGCGCTGGCTTGTTGCTGCTTTGCACCTCATGCCAGCTCACTGGCACCATCCATGTTTGAATACCTAAGTTCCAACGTCCACAGGATGCAGCAGCACGGCCTAAGCTTATGCGAGCGCTACCTCGCGTGTTGCACGGTGGCGAGGCGTCGCCATTCGGCAGCCCGCACATACACAGCTCTCTCGATCTGCTGAGCCTCCCCTGTGGGGATCGCGTACGTGAATAAGACAGGAATGCAAGTTTCAAGGGCATCGCTGCGAGGTGCAAGCCTGGTTTGACCTGGCCGTCCATGGGGCGGGCTTCCTTTCTGTACCGCCGCCCAGGCGGCCTTCTTGTCCTCCTCCCTTTTGTTATGGACACCGGCGGTCAGGCTGTGTGCTAGGGCCACGCCAGGAGCTAGCTGCCGCTCCAGGAGTCTCCAACCTCGACAGTCACACATCCTCTGCAGCAAGACCGTCCCCTGCTATGGAGAACCACACACACAACAGCAGCAGCCTGCCCTGGCGCTGCCCTGAGCCAGTGAGTGGGCCTGCAACTGCCCCCTCGTTCAACACTGCGACCTCTGCCTCTGCCGGCTTTGTTTAGGATCGTTCTGGGAGCTGCCTGTTGTAGGGATGCACCCAGGCATTCACAGAGCTGTGGCGCCTGAGGCAGCACTTCCGAGCGCCGGGCGGCACAGCCGCCGCCGCTCACGGCCTCGGCCATGGCAGGGAGCTGGCGCACTGCCCCCGCTGCCAGGAGCTGCTGTCGCTGGAGAAGAACACGCGGCACCGCTGCAAGAGGCGGCCGCAGCCCGCAACGGCTCCAGTCGGGGAAGAGGAGCACACCGTTTGCGGCGGCAGCACCGGCACGCTCGCCACCAAGCGGCCGCGGTGGGGGCAGCGCTGGGCCAGCGCAGACCCCGACGGCGATGACGGCACCAGCGCAGGTGGCAGCGGCGGCAGCCACCAGGGCGAGGGCTCCACCCTGTCGGAGCCCGCACCGACACTGCCCTCTGCCCTGGCCTCGCCCCGCGGCACGGCAGCCGCCCAGCTGCTGGCGGGCTTCTCAGCCAAGCCGGGGCCTGTGGGCACGCAGCACGACAGGCATACAGCAGGCGCACCAGGCGCAGGAATGGGCGCAGCGGTGCTTTCGGAGCCTGCGCCGCAGGAGCTGCCTCAGCTGCAGCAGCAGCCCGCTGAGCGTGTGGCGGCCCTGATGGGAGATCTGCTGTCCCTGCTTCAGGTGGGCTAGCCATGGGCTTGTCACAGGGCAGCCGCTGCGCTCGCAGCTCCGCGCCCCTGCTTGCCCCGCCCACCGACCTGCCAGGCTGCTCTCCAACTTGCCTGCTCTCCACCTCGCCTTTGTGCAGCTGGCAGTGAGCGAGGAGGATGCGCGGGCCTTCCTCGAAATGGTGATCGTGCAGCAAGCCAAGGAGAACACGGCGGCTGCAGTGGCGGCTGCAGCGGGCAGCGACCTGCCGGATGCTGCCACCCTTGCCGACTCCCTGCTGTCAGCGCTGGAGGCCAACCTTCAGGCTCGGCGGGACGCTGTGCGGCAGCTGCTGGCAGAGCAGCGGCAGGTGGAGCTGGCTGAAGGCCTGCAGGCCGCGCTGCGGGCCTCGCGCCTTGTCCACAGCTGATGACCTGGAGGGCAAGCAACGTGCCTGGCCAGCCAGCAGTCCTATCAGTTAACCGGAGCATGTACCCACCCTTGTGTATGACAACAGAACCAATCATCAGACTTGCGCATTCAGGTGCAAGGAGGCGACCGGGCCTCGCCGCCTCTCCGCCCATGCAGGAAGGAATCCCCTAGTGGCCTGCCTCCTTCTTTGCCACTCCTTGACGCTGTAGATCGCCTTGCCGTGCTTTGCAACGGCTGAACAGCCATGGGGGCGGTCCTGCAGTTCTGCCCGCTGCAGGTGCGCCCCAAGGCGTGCCGGCACGGCCATTGCCCTCACCAGCCGTGATCGCGTTGTACAGTCTTGCCGTTGGATGCAGAGCAAGGTGGACGTCACCTTCTGGAGCGCTCTGGGTGACCTCAAACTGCACCGCTTGAAGCTGGAGGAGGGCCCGGAGCCTCTGCGAGCCTCCTGGTCACCCAGCAACCATGCCGAGCTGCCTGGCATGCTCACGGTGTCCGCCGCGTCGCTGGCGGGGCAGCCTGGCGCGGAAGGGTCGGCGGCGGCGGCGGGAGCGCCGCTGGCAGGAGCCTTCCCCGCTACTGGCAGCCTCTATGTGCTCAACACGATGGAGCGGCTGGCCAGCTTTGACCGCAAGGCCGCAGTGGCAGAGGTGGGCGCTGCTGGGTCGGACCACAGGGGGCAGACGGGTGCTCTCGCGTCAGGCCGCGCACAACGGCAGGCTTTTGCTTCGCCGCTTGACCTGCGTTACTCTGCGCTGCGCCCTACGCCTGTCCATGTGTGCTTGCAGGTGTGCGTCGGCATGTGGGCGGCCATCCATTCGGGTGCTGCGGAGCGGAAGCCCAGCCTGCTGCTGGGCACGGTACTGCTGGCGTACTGCGACCTGAAGCACTACAAGTACCGCTACTGGTTTGCGGTGCCCGCCCTCCAGCCACCGCAGCCCTTCACGCTCACTGCCACCCCCACCAGCATGCAGCAGGCGCTGGGAGAGCAGGCCGCGGATCTGGCGGCAGCGGCATGCAGCGACCATCTGGCAGCCGTTGGCCAGCCGGCCTGGCTGGTGGCGGTGGGCGGCGGTGGCGAGGTGGAGGCGGCGCCGCTCACCGACTGGCACCGCCTGCAGCAGGGAGGCGTCAGCGGCGGCCAGCGGCGCCTGTACCTGACCGTCGCCGACAGCAGCAGCCTGGCGGAGCACCCCGGCTGGCCGCTGCGCAACCTGCTGCTGCTGGCGGCGGCGCGGTGGGGCTGCCGCCAGCTGGGGGTGCTGTGCCTGCGGGAGCGGCGCGGCCGCTTTGACGCCGCCGCCAGCCTGGCGCTGGCCGTCGCGCTGCCAGACCTGCCCCCGGGCTTCTGCCCAGCGCCGCTGGGCGGCTGGGAGTCCAATGAGCGGGGCAAGCTGGGGCCTCGGGGCGCCGACCTGGGGCCTGCCATGGACCCCCGCCTGTTGGCCGAGTCGGCTGTGGACCTCAACCTGCGGCTGATGCGGTGGCGAGCAGCGCCCAGCCTGGATGTCGGCGCCATTGCAGGTGAGGGCCGCTCGCCGCCTGTGCGCCTGCTGGCCCCTCTTGCCGCGGCTGCCTGCCACCTGCCCCCTGCAGCCCTGCGCTGCCGCCGGCCGTCTGTGTGTCCCTGGCTGCCTGGCAGTGCAGGCGTGTGCGTTTGGCTCCACCTCCCTGCTGCGCCGCTTGCCGTGCAGCGACGCGGTGCCTGCTGCTGGGCGCCGGCACGCTGGGCTGCTCGGTGGCGCGCACGCTGCTGGGCTGGGGCGTGAGGCACATCACGCTTGTGGACAACTCGCGGGTGGCCTACAGCAACCCGGTGGGTGACAGGCTGGCGTGTCCTGGGGGCTGTTAGGGGCTGTTGAGGGCCTGGGGAGCTGGAAGGAGGCCAGGGAGGCATGAGCAACAGGCTGGCCAGGCAGTGGTGGGGCGGGGCCGCGGGCGACTGCCGCCCTCCTCTCCCGGCAAGGGCTGCGCTGGCGTTCTGGTGTACGGCGGCACCACACCCGCTGCCCTGCCGTGATGTGCGCTGCCGCCTGCAGGTACGTCAGTCGCTGTACTGCTTCGAGGACTGCCTGGAGGGCGGCAAGCCCAAGGCGGCGGCCGCCGCCGACGCGCTGCGCCGCATCTTCCCGGGGGCCGTCGCTCGAGGCGTGCAGCTCAGCATCCCCATGCCCGGCCACCCCATCGCAGATGGGGAGCTGGCGCAGGTGAGGCGTGGCCGGGGGCAGCTGCCATTGTTGCATGCTGGCTGGCTGCAACTTCCAGCTTCTTCTCGTTCATGGCGCATAGCCTCGTCTCCATCAAGCTGAGGAGGGATGCCTGGCTGGCCTTCCTGCCAAGCCACCTTCCGCCTGCCCCCATTCTGGGGCACACCTCTCCAAAGGCCCCTCCCACCAGCCGCCACGCCACCGCCGACACGCGTGCCCCGCAGGCGCGGCGCGACATCGCGGCGCTGGAGGCGCTGGTGGGGGGCCACGACGTCGTCTTCCTGCTGATGGACACGCGGGAGAGCCGGTGGCTGCCCACCCTGCTGTGCGCGGCGCTGGGCCGCCTGGCCATCAACGCCGCCCTGGGCTTTGATGGCTTCATGGTCATGAGGCATGGGGCCCCCGTGCCGCCAGAGGCGGAACAGCTGGTGGCCCAGCAGGAGGAGCCGCCGGCAGCAGGCGGCGGCGAGGCTAGCGGCGGCGGGGAGCCTGGCGGCGGCGGCAGCGGCGTGCCCGCAGCGGCGCCGCGGCCGGCGCCCCCGCCGCCCAGCGTTGTTGGCAGCCGCCTGGGCTGCTACTTTTGCAACGATGTGGTGGCTCCCATCAACTCCACGGTGGACCGCACGCTGGACCAGCAGTGCACGGTGGCGCGCCCCGGCCTCAGCGCCATCGCCGGCAGCCTGGCGGCGGAGCTGATGGCGGCGGTGGTGCAGCAGCCCGCGGGCGCCGGCGCCCCCGCGGCCGGCAGCCCCCCGGCCGCCGCGCAGCAGGCTGCGGCCGGGGGCGAGGCGCCGCCGCTGGGCCACGCCCCGCACATGATCCGCGGCCAGCTGGGCGGCTTCACCCAGATGTGCCTGACGGGGCAGGCCTTCCGCCAGTGCACCGCCTGCTCCGAGGCGGTGGTGCGCGAGTACCGGCGGCGCGGCCACGACTTCCTGGTGCAGGTGGGGCGGCCTGCGGGGCGGCTGGGGCTGTGCGAGGAGGGTGGCTGGACCCGGCAGCGCGGCCAGGCAGAGCGGGAGGTGGTGGGCTGGCAGGCAAAGTCGAGGGGTGCCTGTGGACCCGACACACGCTTCCTGGTCTGCCATTGCGGTGCGTTCTGGCCCATGCTGCCTTTGCTGCTGCTGCTGCTGCCGCTGCCTGGCGGCCGCGCAGGGCTTGCTGGACCCCAAGCACCTGGAAGACCTTACGGGGCTCACCGAGCTGCACCGCGCCAGCGAGGCGGCGCTGGAGGCCTGGGCCTCGTCAGACGACGAGGAGGGGGAGCTTGGGGGCGTGTATGCAGGGGCAGGAGCGGGCAGCAGCCTCGGCGAGCAGCGCGGTGCACCAACAGGAGCGCAGCCGGGGGCAGCGGCGGCAGAGGGGGAGGAGGACTGGGAGGAGCTGTGACACTGGTGTAAGTTGGAGCTTGATGTATTCACAAAAACGCTAGCGTGTAATTGTATTATGTTCAGGAGTTCAATGGGGATCAATCAAGGCATCCACACTGCAATGGAGGACCTTGTGGAGGAAAGTCGAGGGCCCCAACATTGGGGGCTCCCAAGACAATGCTCTTGGTTGCTTCTGCTTTGGAACCTTGGACGGGCTGTGATACGAGTCTTTGGGGTCTCCTTGACCAGGGCTGCTCTGGCTCACGCAGCTCCCTACTCGGGCCAGGGAGGGGCCGTCTAGGATGCAAAAGGCCGTCTGCTGGAGACGCAGCAGCCTGCGCACCGCCCCCAGCAGCCGCCCCGGCACCATCTGCCCCGGCGCCAGCCACCCTACCGCCGCCTAGACCAGCAACCATGCCCTCGCTGCGGCTGTTCGGCCACTCGTGGCACCTGGCCAGCGACATGCTGCCGGTGCTGGGCATCTGCCTGTTTGTGCCGGCATTCGCCTTCCTGGTGGCATGTGAGTCTGCCGTGTGGCGGCCACTGTTAGGGACAGGCAGAAGGCCCTCTCTCCTCCCGAGTTGTCGCGATTTCTACCGGCCTGCTTCTACCGGCCTGCTTCCTCCTGCAGACATCGTGCTGTTGAGCATCCACTTTGAGCGGCCAGGCTGTTCGGGCAGCCAAGCACACATGCGAGAGGCGGTGGTGTGGGGCATGCCGGCCTTTGCCCTGCTGCACGTCCTGTCCTCCTCCTGCATGATTGCCATCGGCCTTGCTTGTGTGGGCTTAAAGTCTGGTAAAGCAAGAACTAGCTTGCAACATAGACTCCCCGCCGAAACGGGACGGGAACCGGGCGAAAGCAGAGAAAGCAATAAAACAGGGGTGGAGCAAGGCGACATGCAACGCAAGCAGCTGACAGGGCACGCATCGAAACGTGTGTATGACTGGCAAAGTGGCATGGCGCATTGGGGAGAAACGCAACGGTACGGGAGCATGGGCTGGCCAAACGGCAGTGCGGAACGCTAGGTCACTAGAAAAGCAGGGAAAGGCGCACTATGTATGCAATGAGGGCAGCCCCGGCTCGGGGCCGTTGAGAAAGCAGTGGCGGGAGGGGGAGGCCCCGGTGTGGCGGCCCC